TAGATAAAAATATTTGAGAAAATGCTCTGTTTATAATAAACAGTATTAATAACATTTACCGGCCTGAATGTCCGAGAAATTTTCATAGAAAATATTCGTTCTCCGAGAGGAATCGAACCTGTATCCTATACGGAACCGTCATTTAGGCTGGCGTGCCTTAACCGATCGAGCCACGTTCGATTAGCAAAGTCGGTTTTACTGTTTTTAAACTTCAATCTTCCATGAATCTCTCTCGTACATTCATATCTGCTCAAAGCGTATCCAAATGTAAACAAATGACGTCACACATTATTAAAAAATGTATAAACATAAAAATGTCTTAAAATAATTGTCGGATTTTGTCCATTTCATAATGTGTGATGTCATTTATTTACATTTGGATACGCTTTGAGCAGATATGAATGTACGCGAGGGATTCACGGAAGATTGTACTTTAAAAACAGTAGCTCATTCGGTTAAGGCACGTCAGGCCAAATGACGGTTCCGCGTAGGATACAGGTTCGATTCCTCTCGGAGAATGAATATTTTCTATGAAAATTTCTCGGACGTTCAGGCCGGTAAATGTTATTAATACTGTTTATTATAAAACAGAGCATTTACTTAAATATTTTTATCGATAAAAAGAATGTATAAACATAAAAATGTCTTCAAATACATAGGTATATATTATAAAATTCAAGTCAAACTCTTTCTATTGTCGAAGTTTGAAAACCTAACAATGTTTTTACTTCTGTTTATCCATACATGTTGCAAAATAAATTCCTTACATTTGCCTTGAAAATGTCCATCAGAGGACGAAACGCGTTACTAATGAAGTTTTCCTGGTCTTTATTAACATACATTTACCATATCACTCAGCCACCGTTATTCACGCTGTTTTTTGTTGTTGTAGTTGTTTTTTGTTTATTTTTCTTTTTGTCACTTGTAACCTCTTAGCACCATTTGTTGCACTGGAAGGGTATATATTTTTAATACCAGATAAGCATTGTATTTAAACACGATGTGTAAACACATATTGTATTTTAGTCTTCACCTTGCATATTATCAATAAAATAATAAAAATTAAAAAAGATGTCTTAAAATCAAGAAAAGATGCCTTAAAATCAAGAAAAGATGTCTGATAATCAAGAAAAGATGCCATAAAATCAAGAAAAGATGTCATAAAATCAAGAAAAGATGTCTTAAAATGTGTTCCACTAGTGCAATAATGGGCGTGAAAAAGTTAAATATGACATTTTGTATAAATGCATTTTTTTATTTATTTGTTATATCTGAAAAATGTTTCTTGTTATAAAAGCTGCTATTCAAATATTGTACAGATATTTTTTCTCCTTCAACATATAATCTTATAATCAATTCTTCTGGACATTCAAAATCCAGACGACAAAATGTCGACGCAATTTCAATTAAAAGGCCAGACATTCTAGTGATTAATGCCTTTTCATAGATATGGCAATGATATCAGATAAAAATATATCTGTTAAAAATGACACGTAAAATTTCTATAAAGCTTTTGAAACTGAACTGAAAAATGTGGGACCATAAATCTGTTGTTCCAGCCATAGTGACCGATCTGATATCTGAGATAGCAGTGTCAGGCATAAGGCCAAAACTATAGGAATAAATGAAGACGACATTAACAACATTTGCGTGCAGTCATTAGCATACAAATCCCATTAGATTCTTAAGGCAGTTATTATGCGCTAAGGTGCGTTTAATATAAGAGCACCCAGCGAGGATTTAACTCAGTCTAGTCTTAATGGTCAAACAGATTAGTTCTCTAACCATAACTATGATACCCGAAAGTTATTTACTAAGCGTTTTGAAATAGTATTTGATATAATTGTTATATCACTGTCATTTTTTTATTCTTTTTCGCTTATTTTCGTATTCAATTACCCGGACATATTTTTCAAACCTGTTCCAATTATAATCGCGGAAGTATTGTCGTAAACAAAAAAGGCAATATTGGTCAGCCATCATAATCAAGGTAATCCCGTCAAATCTATCAATAAAGTCATTTGAAATAATCTAGATGGTATTAGCAATGGAACTTCACAAAGTGAAATGCGTAGGATTATTTTTAACATGTTTGAAACAGCAGGTAGTCTTGCCATTTTTTGACCTTACTGAATCAAAAGACCTTCTTCTTCTGTGTGCTTCTCCCTTCATGGCTCTTCAGGACTCGATGGACCTAGTCTTTGCTAAGCCTCCTCCTCCCCCTCTCCGTTTCTGTCATCCATTAGCATCATTAATTTGATTACGTCACTCAGTAAGTTGGTATGCAAGGGTAGCTTTTGTCAATTATCATCAGACGTTGAGTCTGGTTTTCTGAATTCTAAAAGCGTTTCTCTAAGATCAAATGTTAGAATTGGTTTAGTTTTGATAATTGAAAAATGTTCAGATGATTTCAGTTTTTCTCTTCTTTTCATGTCCGGATAATCGAAGTCCGGAAAACCGAGATATGGATAATTGAGGAAGTAATTATCTCGAAGGGAATTGTTTGTTTATTGAATCCTACCTTATTTGAAAATGATCATAATAATTTGGCTACAATTATAGAGTACTCAGTAAATATTGAACTCGATCGAACTCATTAATCAGTAGTAATGGTCAGGCAGACTATCCGCTGTTATTCTACGCCGAAACCTCCTATGTTAGTTTGGCCCAACGTCAAGACATGGGGCACCCAGTGAGGATCAACATAAATATAAAGTACTAATGGTCAACTTGATGCAAATCATAGTACCCAGCCTAAATAATTGAATTACTGTTGAGAAACCTCATTAAATAAAAATGTACATAAAAGTTATTTACGTTTGGCTAGAATGATGGAAGTTTCCGACGTTTGACCCAATTTTTGACTGATTTGGCCTTTTTTTTGTTCTGGATTGAAATCAGGTGAACTGACCCAGTTTTGTAATTCGGTTAAATAAAAACTACTTTTCTTTTCTTTTTTCTTTCTTTCATTGTCTTTTCTCGTTTGCATTTCTCAGTGGCAGTTTACAACGGCATGAATTCACAAGCGCAAAATGGGCGAGACGTGGAAAAGCGGAAACAGCTCAAAATACGAGGGCCTCTCAAAGGAAAAGACATGGCCGTTACGGTTCTTATTGAAAACAAAGGGAAGCGAAGTTGTTTAGCAAAATAACAAGCCCAAAGTACAGTACTTTGCCCTATATTCCCTTACCACGATTATCCGGACTTTGAATGTCCGTACCTTGATTATCCGGACTTCAAGTGTACGTACCTCGATTATCCGGACTTCAAGTGTACGTACCTCGATTATCCGGACTTCGAGTGTCCGAAAGTGAAATGAATCGAAAAACTGAAATCATCCAAACCGAGCCCATTCTAATATTTCATCTCAGGCGTTTTGACAATGTTGAAAACCTTAAATCGATGCAAGGGAAGCAGAAATAAATGGCTGGTTCGACGACGTGTGTACGAATAGCCACATAGCCAGGGTGTTGTTGAACTTATAAACCTGCTCCGGAAAAAAAAAGGTTGAAGTGAAGAAAGAGGATAATTGCATTGTCCATATCAAAGTTCAACAGGCCAAATACTCAATTTCAAACACCGAAGCAATGATTATGTTTGACAAATGCTGCGTTTTCAACCAGAAGTTACCCTTACAAATACATCGGAAATGCGCCTTTGGGGGGGGGATATTTTTCTTCTCATTTTTTTTTTAATTGATTCACCCCAAACAAGGCGATAATGCCACTAAGACGCAAGTAGCTACTTAGAGTGAAAGAGAATGAGAATGTAGGAGTTAGCTCCTCCTTAATTCCCAAATTCTTCACTAGGGGTCATTCTCCCAATACTATAAATACTGGGAAATTTCTTGCCTCTTTCTCTTCTTTCTTCATTTCAGCGAACACCGCTACTATGTGAGTTCTCACAAAAGACAGCGTTTCCCATTTCTGGGAAGACGCTATGAACATTACAAACATACACGTACGTACGAACATTCACCAAAAACCTTCACCACTATAATCAAATCTCATGTGCTGTTGTCGGACTAAAAGGTTTCCTGGGAACTGATCTGTTTGACCCTCATACGTCGAATTTCAAGTACTCCACTGCCTTAACCGGGAATTGAACTCACACTCTTTGGGTCCTGTCAGTGGATCTAACTAACGCCTTTATCCACTGTGCCATGTGTCCTCGAGAGTTCAATACCCGGTTAAGGCAGTGGAGAACTTTCAGAGGGGAATTAACAGAAGATAACTGATAACTGACATCCATTAAACATGGCACGAGAACTAGAACAGTCTGCCCCAGTGAGCGAAATAAAGGGTTCAGTTCGACATTCCAACCACCTGAAGAAGGTCGGAGCGTACAACGGCCGAAACGTTGTGATAAATATGGCGACGAAGGTGAGGACAATAGCCCGAATAATGTAAATAATAAATGAATTTCTTTGAATAAATTAAGAGGATAAGGTATTAACTTATTTTCAATGCATAATTAAACAGAAATTTGAAAATACTTAAAAATCATCCTGGCAGCTGATAAAATACTTCTGAATATTGTCAAATGATATGTGACTTACAGAAATGTATTCAGGTAAATAAAACTCTTAGGCTTCGATGCGGAAATATTACTTTTTTGGTGCAGGCAATTGTATCGTCTGCTGAATGAAAGACGTGATCACGTGACCATATCAAAAGATGAAAGGCGTTCTACGATCGATTTCATATACTGAATTCATGAATACCTAAAATTAATTGTTTTTACACTTTCATGATACAATAGGAGTTTATCTCAAAAGTGCATTTGTCATTTTATTGATTTCTATTCACCCTGGGCCAGACTGACTGGTTAATCTGCTCGGATTAATCAATGAAATCGGGTAAAACGAAGAAGAATGATAACGGAATATAAATTAAAAAAATGAAAATAAAATACAGAGACACACAAAAATATGCATAAAGAAAGCTGAGCATTAATTATGTCTTAATCTAATATGCTTTATTTCTCGAGGAGCTAGCTAGCTAGCTAGATAGATAGATAGGTAGAAATGAAGAGACTGGGAAAGAAAGAAAGAAAGAAAGAAAGAAAGAAAGAAAGGAGACTGGGAGAGACGATGATCCAGTAGTTTTGGCCTGTAGTGTATGAAGAGATAGACAGAAACTCAATGTAAAAACAAAATTATAGTGTTTATTATTATTTACATTATTCAGACCGTTATCCTCATCTTCATTGCCATATTTACGACGTTTCGACGTTGTTCCCTCCGGCCTTCTTCAGGTGACTGGAATTTCGAACCGAACCTTTTATTTCGTCCACCGGGGAAGAATGTTCTAGTTCCACGTGCTATGCCTGTTCAACTCTCAGTGGATAAAGACGTTAGTTAGATCCAGTGACTTGACCCAAAGATCTGTGTTTTCAATATCAGGCCACATCAGTGGAGAACCCAAAACATGGAGAGTTGAGTTAAATGGAAATAACTGAGACATCCGGAGGAAGCATGACACGTGGAACTAGAACAATCTACCCCGGTGGACAAAATAAAGTGTTAGGTTTGAATTTTTTTATTTATGTTTAGCATTCTTTTTATAGATACAAGTATTTAAGTAAATGCTCTGTTTATAATAAACAGTATTAAATAACATTTACCGGCCTGAATATCCGAGAAATTTTCATAGAAAATATTCGTCCTTTGACAGGATTCGAACCTGCATCCTATACGGAACCATCATTTACGCTGACGTGCCTTAACCGACTCGGCCACAAAGGAGCGTTCGGTAGGCAAGGTCGAATTTACTGCTTATAAACTTCAAAGTATGTTTTGCCAGTCTTACAAAAATCCACATTCGCATTTTAATTAGTCTTTTAATACGGACCGCTGGTGCCATTAGAAGAGACGAAATAAACATATAGGTAGAGGAAGAACTTTTGTAAACATGATTCACTTTTTGCCTTGTTAATCAGCATTCGAAATCGTGGCATTTACGTGGGCTCGAGCCTCTAGCGCCGGCGTCAAATACGTAGCTATCGCATTTCCATGGCAAATGTTCAGATCAGTTGCACTCTATAGTTCCACCAGTTCAATCCTTTATAGCTAAGACTTGTTATGCTACGTCCATGGAGTTGAATCAGCCACATTTCCTCCGTGGATATAAGCGGTGAATTTCCAGCAACGGCTTTGTAGAACAAACTGTTGTGTGGATGTTTCCCTTCATGTCCAAGATTAATCGCTATCTATCCACCTTATCCTCATTTTCTTCTACCTCCTGTTACGTCCATATCACGCATCACATATAGTAAAACTCTACCATGAGTGGCTCTGGAGGCTTGTATTGGGGAAAGTTTAGTATAGAAAAACAACCAGAATCAACTGAGTTTATTAACTCAGTTTATTACAAAAATAAAATAAGTGTTGATGAAGGCCACAGGTGTTTGTATTTTTTAGTCAGCCCTGTCTAATACAATGTCGAAGCGTTACTAAATGAAGTTGTTTTATATACGTAGGAGGGAGAAGAGAGAAATACGTGCAGATTATGAAGATACGATATGATAGGTCATTGTTGACCCCAGACTTTAACAGGTTAAAATGGCAATGTTTTGGAAAGCATCCTCTTGGGAGTTAGGCGATCATGTATTTTTTGATACATGACTGACGAGGCAGAATTTTTCCCACAGTAGGTTGCTATTTCTTTCAGCTGTAGAAAAGTTGCCATCCAAGGCTATAGAACCCGGTCTCTCCTGCTATTTACCCATAGCTAGGGGGAGAAGAAGAGGATTCATACCTTTCCCAAGGATATTATCACGTAAGTGAATGTAACGCATTCGACTGGAAGATACGGTGGAGTAAGGGATAGCTCCTCGGTTTGAGGAATCGGAGAGCCGCGTTCGAATTCCACTCAAAATGATACGAAAATAAATAACGAAATCGATATCCCAGGATCGATTTTCTAACGTCCAATTACCATCATGGCAGAAGGTAAGTCATTTTTTTTTATCCTTGCCGTATCCATTCCGGGATTTTTATTGTCCGTCTAACACTAATCAAGTAGGACTGAAGTCACTGTGAACAATGGAAGAGAAAACAATACTTGAATGTAATCGAGTAATGTAACTTTATTAATTTTGACTCTATTTCCTTGCAATCTTCCCTGTTTCACCTTCTTGCTAAAAATAATCAAAAAGCAACGATCGATTTTCTGTAGAACGTGTTCGGCGGCTGGCAAAAACAAAAAAAAGTACATGATACACAGTTCATAATATTGAACAATGGACAGGAATTCTTGACTACTGTAAAATTTAAGCTAAGATTTCCCGCCAGCCAGGACACTAAATGACATGAAACCAAATTCAGACCAATGAGGAAAAATATCAGCTTTTAATACACCCCTATTTTTACCGGAATACCATGGAAAATTTATTCACAGGACAAACGGCAAAGAATGTTAGGTTTCTTTCATGCATAAATCGATCCTGAAAGAAACCCAAGCAGAGTCGCTGTATCCTAGTCACTGTTTACAATGTGAAGAAACCGATAAACAAGGGCAACTGTATCCGGGAGAAGCAGAGACGTGGTGGGGTCAGTAAGAAACGTAATCAAAAATTCAAAAAATGCCACAAAACCAAAACTGCAAAAGATTCAACAATATATATATATATATATATATATATATATATATTTTATAATTCATCCCAAGCAAGGCGATGAAGCCACGAAGACGTAAGTGGGTTACTGGGTTGAAAGGATAAAGTAACAGAATGCAAAAAGATAGAGCAGTGGTCTCCAAATGGCGAGGTACACCTCATAGGTGCGGAAGATGTTAGCAGGTGAGGCGGAAGAGGATAGCAGGTGCAGCGGAGGAGGATAGCAGGTAAGGGGTAGGAGGATAGCAGGGTAGGGGAAGGAGGATAGCAGGTGCGGCGGAGGAGGATAGCAGGTAAGGGGAGGAGGATAGCAGGTAAGGGGGAGGAGGATAGCAGGTTATTGGAGGATAGCAGGTAAAAGGAGGAGGATAGCAGATGCAGCTGAGGAGGACAGAAGTTGAGGGGGAGGATAGCAGGGTAGGGGAAGGAGGATAAGCAAGTTTTGAGGAGGAGGAAATAGCAAGTGCAGCGGAGGAGGATAGCAGGTGAGGGGGGGAGGGTTGCAGGTGCAATGCGGAGGAGGGTAACAGGTGAGGGGGAGGAGGATGGCAGGTGAGGGGGGTAGCAGGTGAGGGAGAGGAGGATAGCAGGTGCAGCTGAGGAGGACAGAAGGTGAGGGGGAGGATAGCAAGGGAGGGGAAGGAGGATAGCAAGTGAGGAGGAGGAGGAGAATAGCAGGTGAGGAGGAGGAGGATTGCAGGTGCAGTGGAGGAGGATAGCAGGTGAGGGGGAGGAGGTTAGCAGGTGATGGGGAGGAGGATAGCAGAAGAGGGGAAGGAGGATAGCAGGTGAGGGGGGAGGAGGATAGCAGGTGATGAGGAGGAGGATAGCAGGAGAGGGGAAGGAGGATAGCAGGTGAGGGGGAGGAGGATAGCAGGTGAGGGGGAGGAGGATAGCAGGAGAGGGGAAGGAGGATAGCAGGTGAGGCGTAATGACTGAAAAGAAATCAAAGATTTAGAAACAGTTTCAAAAAATTCATATGCCAAAAATAAATATGATTTCAAAATTTCAAATATTCTTATGGATTACTTGTAATTGCATGCGTGAGTCCTAGTATAAATAGTTATAAATAATTATTGACTGATTTTATCATTGGGATAATTTTGCATTATATCAAGTAGTAAGTAATATTAATATAGTAACTAGGATCCGCAAATTGGAGGAGAGAGTTATCAATAATAATGTTCTGACTTAGAATACACGGTTATCTCCCTTTAACCCTTTCTCTGAACCTTCTTTGTCGTAGGACTGTATGCGCCTTTTAAGTTCTGAGTAATATTAAAAGCCAAAAATGGAAAAGGCTTATTTCAAATTAAGCTTAATATAAAGTAGATTACCCGTCAAAAACAAGCTCTTACCTTTCATTAAATTTGTGTACTTTAATCGTTTTATAAGTTGTTATACATTAATCGAACACTTTGGGTCTAGTCACGGGATCTAACCAACGTCATTATCCACTAGACCATGTGTCCTTGAGACTTGAGTTAAAGAGAAATAAATGAGACATCCGGAAAAGACATGGCACGTGGAACTAGAACAATCTACTCCACTGGACGAAATAAAGGGTTTCAGTTCAAATTCCCATCACCTAAAGAAGGCCGGAGCGTACAACGGACGAAATTAATTATAGTTCACTATTTACATTATTCGGACTATTGTCCTCATCTTTGTCGCCATATTTATGGCAACGTATCGGGCGTTGTACGCTCCGGCCTTCTTCAAATGGTTGGAATGTCGAACTGAACCCTTTATTTCGCTCACTGGGGTAGACTATTCTGATCCCACGTGCCATGTTTAATGGATGTCAGTTATCAGTTATATCCTGGTAATTCCCCTCTGAAAGTTCTCCACTGCCTTAACCGGGTATTTAACTCACACACTTTGGTTTAAGGCAATCCGGGTTGGTTAATGCCAAGGATTCTTTTCCTTCTGACGAGTATTTGTAAAAATGCAACTTATACGTCTAATTTCGGTAATGTTCTTGTTTCAGTCAAATACTAAATGATCTTTAAGGATCTCCATCGTATAAATTCTCTCCATAGCATGTTGCTGTTGACATCCCAGTGTCTTTCTCAAGGGTTGTGTTGAATTTTCTCATCTCTGAATTGAAGGTGTTGAAAACACCGCTGATATCCGACACATATTCAGTGTCCATTCTCCAAATATCATCGTATAAATTCTCTCCATAGCCTGTCGCTGTTGACATCGCAGTGTCTTTCCCAGGGGTCGTATTTTATTTTCTCATCTTTGTATTGATGGTGTTGAAATCACTGTTGAAATCCTACATATATTCAGTGTCCATTCTCCAAATGTAACCTTTTCAACAACATTGTATTCCATTTTCAATATAATTATAAATAAGCAAATGAGACAATACACTTCGACTTCAAGTCATTTTGTTGTCACCAAACTATGACTGGTCAGATCTATTCATGTAATGTAGCCTAGGCCAGCGCGTACTACACCCGAAGCCAGTGGTGGGGGGGATGCTGTTTGGGCAACCCCCCCCTCCGGGCAGTGCTTTGTGACTCTCGCTATCTTATCAACATTTGCTTTTTTTCTACTTACATTTATATACGTTACAAGTTAAACTGAGCACAAATGAGTATTAAAGGATGAAAGATTTTCGCGGATTTTAACCTCATAGGGGCTTTATTTTTAAAATAATCTGTGAGTTTCTTTTGCTCATACTACGCCTCGAAAAAAAAACACTATATAAAATTTAGTATTTTTTTTTATTCCTAATGTTGAATGTGCTAAAATTATTCAACTTTTTAACAAGAAAAATCTCAAGTCGATGTTAAAAATTGCCGCAAAACTTTGTGAATTTATTTAAAATCTATTACGACATGTCTCGAATTTGTATTTAAATACATTGTATTTATTTTCAATTTTGCTAGTTGAATTGTTGACCTATATTGCATATGATCCATTACTGTTAGGCTACAATAAAATTAGTATTTTATATGAATACTACATTATTAAAACTGAGAAGTAAAGTGAGGAGCCCCGTATCAGAGATTAAGGAGAGTGCATGAAACCCTTACACTGGCCTTGGCGAGGAGATTCTCAGGTATTCATTACCATAGAAGGGGGCTGATATTACATAACTGTTCAGTAGTTTCTTGATTTTACATATTTTACTTAGCTTTTGAAAGGCATCTTTTGTTGTCCCAGTGCGCCTTCGGATTTTTCATCCTCTGTTAAAGCACTTAAAAAAAAACAGATATTTGCATTTTCGTTGGGGCGTTTAACTTTGCCTGAAATGCGCAGCCCAGTAGACGCAATACACAATGCTTAAAAATGGGGAGGCTATTCAAATACAGGTATGTACGAATAATAACGTTTAAAGGAGCCAAAATGTTCTATCTCTCTATATAAAACAGAGGATTTCTATGTGTGTGTGTCTGTCTGTATGATACCATTTCCCTCGAGATCCATCCGATCGATTTTGACCAAACTTAGCACATACATTATACAATATAAGACATAGGTTCTTAGCGTTAAAAATCGATAATTTTTGAAAAATCAATAATCGATAAATTCAACTTTTTTCCTCCGATTTCGTTCAACCTCGGTATTTAGGTTACTTACATCATGACGAGTGTTTAGCGAAAATCGCACAAAACAATTTTCTAGCAATCTAATGCAAACTTCACTGAATTGTAGCCAATAATAAGTCATTTAACAATCATTTAACTTGATAAATGAGTCCACCCATATAGTGAAAACCTGCGTAAATAGCGAAAAATGGCGATTTTTACTGGTTTCTTTCTTATTTTTCGTTGATCGTTCAACCAATTTTCATCAAACTTAACAATTGCTTTATAAATGAATCCTCTTTTACATCCCAGATAGCACATTGACAAATTGAAATTCAAAAACTCCAAAATAATGTGGTCTGAAGTGGGTTTTCATGTTGCCTGTTTTACCCCTTCATGTCCTCAGCTAACTTCGATTGAATAAATACAGACTACTTCTGTTATATCAGTAAATGCATTAATTCTAAATGTTTTTTTAATGAAAGTAGTTTAAAATAATTGAAGAAGATAGACTCTTACATCTAAACATGATGCTGTTTTTGCTCCATTCTAATTGAACGCTTTTTCTGATCGACTATGGCTGATAGTAATAAAATAAATCCATTAATTTAGAAATTGTTTTGTTGACATTTCGGATACGAAGTCTTTGGGGAAAATCCGGATGAAAGGATGTGCATTCCTTAAGAAGATAAACTGAATATTCCTGGACTATGACTCTCTCTGCGCCGATCGGTGTAAAACGCGCCTGATCAGATGGTGGGTTTTTCTACAAATAGAGAGAACATTTTCTTTAATTTTTCTCGAGTGTGCAGGCTGGTAGATGCAATACACACTGCTTAAAAAACAGAAAGTATATTTAAACACGTGTATCCACCAAAAATAATCTCTGAATTAATATATATCTATGTTGTATAGCCCCCTCATACTGGGAGGTCAACGGCGCCAATTCGATAATAATGTTACATTCTCTTTTTCTCGTCTTCTCCCTCGCTTGGTGATCGTTAGATGTTTTCGGGCAGCAGCGAATGACGTCAAACACGGGTAATATTAATACTTAACTATTTTATTAATGTTGACATATACTAACTATCCAGTTGGCGTCGTTCCTCTTCACTGGGGAGCCGTTTCAGACACGAAAGAGAACACGTCTACATTGATTAATGGTTAAGACTCGACTCTCGGAAAAAATTTTCTTTATCTGTCATTCCCACGCTAGTTCGGCCAATCAAAATCGTCTTCCTTATTGACATAAGATCAACCTCTGGAAGTCGGAGCTGAGATACACTTCCTGTAAAAAATGATCTTGTATAAATGGATAGCAGAACAGAGAGGGTGAGAGATAGTATAAGATAACCATTTCTAAGAACTACAAATAATTGGGAGGAAAGAAGGCTTAGAAAATTTAACACTCACAGGACATATTTAAGAGAGGTGGAACAGAGGAAAATAGCGTGTAATCTATGTAACAAGCAGAAAAGAGAATCGGCGGGATAGTAAAACGAAAAACATTGCTAAAACTATAAAGGATAAGAACTTGTGGAGAGCCGTAATCGTCTACGATCTGGAAGGATAACTTACAGAGAAAAATATTTTGATGTTACTGAAAGCCAATTTGCATAGTATGCGATGTTTTCACGTAAGTCATTAGTATATGAAGTTAAAATAGTCATCAAATTTTTGAAAACATTTCTTAGACATGTCTCCGTTTTAATTACTGATACTGATACAAATTAATAGGTTTTGTAAATAATACATCCATAAATGAATATTTTTGTTCACCTGTATTTCCTATTTATATCTATTTGTTGTCACCAAAATAGCATTACACAAGTTTGACCACCCTTGACGAATACCAAACTAAACAGCTAAATATACGACCCCGAACAAACTAACCTCCTAAATAGTTATTAGATATAAAGACCTGTTCGTAGATAGGGGTCAGCTATTAGCTGTGCAGTTTCAATCGTTGATAATGGTCGATCAATTACCCTTGAGAGGTGAATGTGTCACTTGCTTGAAACACCAAGTGACAGAAAAAAATGAGAAGTAAAACAATCGGTTGCCATTGGCTCATCTTCAAATAACCTTACCGATTAACGTGGTGCCTGACCAAATTAAACGCCCCAGAGATTAACATGGTAACGTGCAGACAGCGGTTGCTTGATAATGTTAAAGGCGTGGATTATTTACGGCCATTTTCATTCAGTCTCAGCGGCGTCCAGTTGGCGTAAAAAAACGGATTATCGCTGGATTTGTGCAGGAAAATGCCAAGTAAGTTCATTTTTCTATTATAATACTGTCTTTTATTGAATGGGTTATATAACTCTTAACTTCATAGGCAGCCCTCTTTCCGTTTGAGAAAATAACTAATTAAGTTGTTGTTATTAATCATTAATAACATCTTTCATCTTATTTTTGTTGTTTTTTATCAAAACAACCAAGTCGTTTTATATTCTACGATCGCTAAATCAGCAGCACTCAACGAAATATATATATATATATATATATATATATAGAGAGAGAGAGAGAGAGAAATGGATAGCGGCTCGGATTGAGGTATTGGAGAGCCGAGTTCGAATTCCAGTTGAAACCATTACATTCACTTACCCTTGGGAAAGGTATGAATCCTCCCCCACCTATGGGTAAAATAGCATGACAGACTGGGTTCTATAGCGTTGGATGGCAACTGGTCTAAGAGAAGGACAACTCTGAATTCAAAACCTGTGGAGGGTCGTTTGGGGACCTTGTGGCACTCTGTATTCGGCTCTTCTAAAAGCATGGTTGGTTCTGCACAACGCCTCCACCACTGTGGGAGGTGTCTGGCTGTCGGTTCCTAGGAACTGAGTTGCTTTTTATTTCGTACGTCGAAAACGACAGGAGAGTCCATTTTATATATATATATATATATATATATATATATATATATATATATATATATAAGTTACGAAGAATTTGGTAAACCGAATGGGTAATTCCAAGGAGGATGAAATCCTGGGAGCTCAATGTGAATACAGAGCTAATATTTAATGAAAAAAATTTTTTACTTTAAATACCATTACAATAATTTATTTCACCAAAATCCTTTTTTTTTTTAATTTCGTTGTTGGAAGTGTTACCTGATGATCCGGAGTCCTTCAAAAGGATTTTGGTGAAATAAATTATTGTAATGGTACCTTAAAGTATTCGGTTTTTTATTAAATATTATATATATATATATATATATATATATATATATATATATATATATATATATATATAAGAAAGATAAGAACAAATGGAGCATAATTCCACTGTCCGCAACATTTAATTTAAACGGGGGCTCAATACAGAGTAGAGCTAAATATTATTTATTTTCGGAGATTAAAACAAAAACATGTTAGAAATCGCTACACAATATCAGTCGTGTCTCAATATTACAAATTCCTTGGGCAATGGTAAATTACTCGTGAGTGAACGATGGATTTCAAAAGCAGAATACTTCTACTTGTTTTGAAAGAGAAAAAGACGAATAAAAAAAAACAGAATTGAAATGAGGCTTGTGAGTTTACTGCGATTAACCAATCAAATCTGAGGCCTACTCTAAAATCTAAGCCAACTGAAAAAAAACTTTATATACGTCATGACATGAAGTTGTCTGCGTAGAAATCGTAGACAATTTCGTTTG